ACAACAATAAAGTTAAATGGACCCAGACAAACTTAGGTCACTTAAATGTAGCATACAGATGACCTCAGAAAGAAGGGAAAGCTGTTTTCTATGTCATTGCTCAAAATAAACATCTCTGCTTTTTTTTCAGGATGCCCAGAAGGAAAAAAAGTGGAATTTATTACTAGTTTATTGGATGCTCTTACCACAGACATGGTACAGGCCATTAATTCAGCAGCACCTGCTGGAGGTGGGAGGTGAGTTTGAAAGGAAGTCATGCTGTACAGAAGCAAGACCAGAAAAGATCTACAGTTTTGCCTAGACTTTTATTTCCAGCACTAGACTATTTCAGTAGACTAATAGACAAGATGAATTCATCGTTTAAATTCTGTCACAGAAAATTTAACCATACTTGGCCAAAAGTATCTGTTTTGTGCTTTTATTATTTCAAAACAAATTAGGACAGACACATGTATATTACTCATTTAACTGTGGAATCACCTTGTTTCCGAAACTTTAAGAGCAAAAAGATTAATACAAAATGTGCACCTGCTACAATTAATGAAATGCCATAAAAAACAAAGAGCGACAGGGAAAGTTTGAAATGATGGAGGCTAAAATGTCAGAGTCATTGCTAAGAAAAGAAATATATTTTATAATAAAATAAATATAAACAGCCTGAAATGCAATTTTTAAGATACTTTTGAGCAATAGAGTACAGTAAGGTAGAACGCTGGAAGGAATAGAACATTTCTTGCCTGGTGCTGAAAAAATGAACAAAATAGACAACGGGTGAATTTCTCTGTGGAGGGAAATCCACAGTTGGAGGGTTATGGCTGAAAAGGTTTATTCATACATAGCTACCCAACCAAATTTCAGTATACAGGGGCACTTGGACAGGACCTCTTATGGTAACCTCAGATATATGCGGAGCCAGAGGTTGTGAGTTTGATTCCAAGCCTTCAGATGCTATGACCTTTCTGATGCTATAGTATCCACAGGGCTTATGTGTGTCTAGTCTATTTATTGATTTAATGTTTGATTGCACTTTTAAACTCGTCGTTTCGTTGTTTAGTCGTGTCCGACTCTTCGTGACCCCATGGACCAGAGCACACCAGGCCCTCCTATCTTCCACTGCCTCCCGGAGTTGTGTCAAATTCATGTTGGTTGCTTCCATGACACTGTCCAACCATCTCATCCTCTGTCAACTTTTAAACTGCTCCTTATCAAATTTTCTGAGTAGTGCACTTGAGTGTAGATTAAAAATATAAATCCAAAACTAATGGACAATAACAAAGAAAGCAGAACAAAAAACCACCACCAATAGCAGAGGATAAACCATTATTGTTCTTATTAAACATAGCAATACCTAGAAGTGCAAAGTTACAAAAGCACTAAAACAGTTCTTAAAATGTCTGATAGAGATGCCATTCACATATAAAGCAAAAACTCCTTAAGCAAAAACACATGCTAAAATGTTGACAGCAAAACCCATCCTTTCTGCTGTCTTAAGCAGTTTTATCCTTGCTTGGTTTACTTCCACCATCAGAGGCATCTTGAAAGAAAACTGCTTACAGCAGTAGAACACAGTGAGCTAAGCTGTGGGAAGAAAGGAGGTCTTTTTCCATTCCTCATGCACTTTTCAGGTACATTTGATACTCCTTCTTTCACTTTATATGTAAATAGAGCAGCTAAGAGTACATCGGATGCCTGGCTACATAACCATGTTGGTTCTTGGTGAAGATTCAGAGAAGGTTTTTATCATGCCATCTCCCTATCTAACTGAATTTTATGAGCTTTAGATGATGGCACCCTCCACATGTATTGTCCCTCCCTTCATGTTTTTCCATCACTTCTTTTTCCTCACTGTGGAAAATCTCCTAAGGAGAAAAAGATGAACAACACATTTTGATTGCTAACATAAATTGCCTTCTGTGCAGAAAAGCTCTTAGCCTCTGGCTTTCAACACCTGAAGATAATATAGTATTTCATGACTAATTATTAGTATCTAGAGAAAGATGGCTATTATTAGTCTAAAAGTGGTGACAAGGTACACATTTAAGTAAGTATCTCCTCCATTCTTGGTTTGCCTGGAGGGTAGGAGCCTAGTTCATGCTTGCCTGATTGTTCCCCTTTTGTCCATGTTCATGTACACACAGGACTGGATCACTCCAATCAGGTATATCTTGATTTCCCCTCACTGACTTGATTACTGAACTCTTGAGGCTCTCACTGCAGAATATGTAGACTGGTTTCACTGAAATGCTACAAATGTTCTGTCTATGCATTGCAATCTGTCCTCTTCCCATCCCTTCCCATCCTGCCTCTTTTCTGGTCCCGGAGCCATCGTTGCTGACAAATGTGACCCCATGAGTGAGTTGGTCACTTCTCAAGGCAAATATTTTATATAAGATACAGTGTTGATATTTTTGGTGGCCTCTGTTTAAGGTCTGTTTTTAATTACATCAGTGACTGTATGTTTACAAATGGGATGTTCTGCAGCCCAATGGTAAACTAAAATGTTGAACATGAAAAGCTAGTATGTGTTTTTATGCAGATAATACTTAAAAATCTTAGGTTTAATAAATAATAAGACACAACATTTCTGTATTATAATATGTGCTTTTCTTTAGATTAAGATGACATTTCATCATACTGTAGCTTTATCAAAGCAAACATAGCAAGCCAGAGGTTAAAGAAATCTCTAAGTAGCAGTTCTTAACCTTTTCTTTACCATGGTCTCTCTTTAAATATATTTTTTTTTCCACAGACCACCAAGACGTAACTCAAGATATAAAACCCTAAAGTGCATCAAATATTTATTTAAAGTTTCTCAGGAAAGGTTTTCAGACTTGGAGAGAAGGGAGAAATATGTTAATCTGTTAATGCACACACTCCTATTAAAACATTTTTATTGGAATGATTCAACAACAACAATAATACCCAAGGAATTAGTGCTTAACAGCAAATATCGACTCTGCCAAGAAAGAGTGGCAAAATTAGTGCACTGGTCATTATATAAAAAACATAACTTGCCAGCCTCAACAAACCCATGGGAACATCAGGTAGAGACAGTGTCAAAAAATGAGGAAGTCAAGATCTTGTGGGATTTCTGGATCCAAACAGATAGACACCTTGAACATAACACCCCAAAGTAGTAACAGAATGAAGAAATGTCTGAATCATTGACACCGCAATTCCAGGGGATGCCAGAGTTGAAAATAAAAAATTGGAAAAACTAACAAAGTACAGAGTCCTGGCAATCGAAACATCTCGACTCGGGGAGAAACATACTTCAGTGGTCCCAATAGTCATTGAGGCTTTGGGAACAATATCAAGAAATTTCACAGTACTATAAGCAGGTGCATATCTCAGAAATCCCAAATATGGCAATATTAGGAACAGCATACATACTGCACCGATAGTTAACAGATACTTAGGTTTTTGGTTAAATCTAGTATCCGTTATATAATACCAGTTGATGTTTTATAATTTTGACTGTACCTGGTGTTGTTGATGTTGTTGCTGTTGTTGTTGTTATCATCAATAATGATAATGATAATGATAAGGATGATGATGAATAATAATAACAACAATAACAATAACAACAACAACAATAATAATAATATCACTGATATTGACTGCAAGTATCTCTTCCTATTGCTTCAGACTGTCTGCACAGGAGCAAGAAGTGTAATGTGCTGTCTCCCACACGCTCAGAACCATTCACTTGCATGCTCTCACCATGTGCAAATATCAAATAGTTATTTTCATAACCAGTTTTTACTTTTGTTTGTTTTTAATCAAGGTGGTAGGTTAGAAAAGCCAGGTTTTATACAAACAAGCAAGGGAAGTTTAGATTTTGTTATCCGTTTCCTTTTCTTTCTTTCTTTTTCTTTCTTTCTTTTTCTTTCTTTCTTTCTTTCTTTCTTTCAGGTCATACCATTCCTTCATGCCTTCTTGGACCCCCTGTCAGGACATTGCGGGGCCTCCAGGGATCCACAGACCACAGGCTAAGAACCTGGACTCTAGAGAATATTTGGCATCCTTAGTTATTTGAATTTCTATCACCATCTAAGTGTGAATTCTTTAAAAAAAGTTTAAAATTGTAGATTTTTTTAAAATGAAGAGGCAATGTGTAGTTCTGGTATATTTGCCTTTTTTAAAAACCTCCCACTTTCCCAGTTACTAATTCTACAGAAGGCCTAGGTTTTCCTACCTACTTGTGTGAAAAGATGGATCTTCAGGTTTAAAGCCCACAACATGATGCATCATGCCTTGTGGTGTTCAGGTATCTTCTGTTATGAGTTACATTATCAGTAGACAGTGAAAATGAAGTGGTGTAGTAACAGAATCCTTTTTAATGCTCACATCTAGGTAAAACACCTTTTACAATCCAGAGGCTCTCAGCCATCTGCTTGTGCTCAACCATGATTTTAATTTATAGAACAGCTCTGATACATAAACATCTGGGAGTGTCATTTAGCATGCTCATTCTCCAAACAGTATGGATTGAACATTCCTTTATTTCTGAAAAACAGAGAAGGAGAGAGAATTAAGTCCATTTCATGGAAATAATTTCTTGCACTCTAGGGCTCCCCCATATGAGGCAGAAAGAAAGGCTGTCATTGTATTCCCATCACAGGTAAACGTTCTCTCCTCTGTAATATTTGAAAAGTATTGACATTCCAGGAACCCTTGCCACTCGCAGACTCCAGGTGGGTGTTTACATGTTTTCTGGCATTGGTGCTGTTTAAACATAACAAAAATGCACACTTGCTTTGTAAGCAGAAACCAGAGGGTTAGATTTGGATTTCTGGAAACAGGCCTTCAATTCTACTGGAGCCCCCTTGGGTCTCAGTCTGCAAAATATTATTATAGGTGCTTGTTGTACCGTCTTTAAACATAATACATTTCCTAGGCAGACAGTCTTCACAGAATGGTGTGATTTAAAAATATAAAATATATTCATCTACAGTTAGATTGTCCCTAATATCCTCCTAGAAACAGTTTACTTTGAAGTAAATTTCATTGACACAAGACCTCTTTGAAAGTAATGTGGCCGAAATCAAATGAAGACATTAAAAAAATGTATGGATCAGCCCATGTATCACACTCCCTTTTTCATTTTCTAAATCAAGATTGTACCACTAGTTTCCTACTCTCAACAACTGCTTGATAAAAGGCCCTGGAGAAAAAATCGAACTGACTCATATCTCCTTCCCATTGGGGCATTTGTGCTAAGGTCCCTGTGTCT